ATTAACAAAATTAAAAAAAAAAAAAAATCTTCTGCTTCCTTCCAGAGGGTTAAAAACCTCCCACCTTTTTCTGACCATATCTGACTTCTAATCTCCTTGACTGATAGTCAGTGCAGTTGGAGCACGAAACGAGTTCTCTGTATGTCTTTGATGCCGGAAACCATCCTTCCAAGTCATACTTCTTAGCAGCAGCATCATTCAGTGCCCCTGAGACGATTGACACGACTTGGTATGGAATATTCAGCTGCCCACAGAATTAATCAATTGGATAAATGGATAAATTAGGGTAAAGGAGCGCAGCCAATTTTTGGAAAAAACATGTGAAAATAAATGATTTATTTGGAACTGTAAAAATGGCGCTATGCTGTGTACCAGTTTGTAGAAATCCTCGGCATTCTTTAGCATCTCTTCATGCATCTCCCAGGAGTCATTTCCATTTGGGCTGGTTACACAGAATTGTTCTACCTTTTCAAATTGATGAACACGGAAAATTCCCAAAGTATCACGACCATGTGAACCGGCTTCTTTGCGGAAGCACGACGAGTATCCAGCATATCTGACATTATTAAAAATGGAAAAACCAAAAGGAAATAAGAAAACACACACACACTCCCACAAAACCAATATAAAACTTTTGGGTGCTTAAATTAAAATGGAAGAAGTTACAGAGGGTTAGTATATCAGACACATTGACCAGACGTGCAAAAAACTACATTTTACATAGATGAAAGACCTGAGACCTCAATGGTAGTTGCGAAGGGTGAATCCAATCGTCCAGATGATATGCACAAAGCGGTTGTTCAGCAGTGGCAATCAGATATTTATCATCTCCATCACCACTTACCTGTAGCACAAGTTCAAAACTACATGAGTACAACCTTGACAAAATGGCTACATTATGATACAAAACAAAGAGAATTAACTTTTCAAGAAAACCACAAGCATGCAATACTGCTCAATGGCTTCCATCATCTACACAATTCTTGTGGACATTCATAAGCTAGCCACAAACTTAGCTTTACTCTTTGAATTCCTAGGTTGAACTATTCGTGTTCTCAACACTTCATCACTAAACGCAACCACGTCTTCCAAATCAAATTGTTTCCTGAAATTAACATCGCTTGCTAACTAAACAAAATGACCAAAGCACAATGGGCTTGAAGAAAGCAAGATTTTAAAACAGCATGCAGAGATCACTGAAATACCACATCTTCAATTACTTCATGGTGAAAAAAGGTTCATCTTTTCCTTATTAAACTAGACAAATAACCTTGTAAAGTTCCTCATCGAACTGAGCCAACTGAGCACATTTTGCCATAATATCTTTCCTCATGAAGAAAGGGGTCTGCAAAGCAGTAAAGCCCCTCTTCTCCAAAAAATCAAGAGCCAAGTTGATTAGAGCTTGATTGAGCCGTACTCCGTCCCCTTTGAGATAGAAACCTCTGCCTCCCGCTACATTTGCACCTAAAAACATCCACATAATTTGCATTATCAACCTAGCTATTATATTGAAGACAAGCGAATGAAATTTAAGACAGAGCAACACAATTAGTAATTTACTGCAATAAAGAGAAGTTCAAGAAATTCTAGATACAAAATCATTCAGAAAGCAATCAAGGGAATTCTTACTGCTCTACAAAGACACCCAATTCCTATGCTCAAGTTAAGCACCTCTCGGCCAATAAAGAAAATTGACATTCGAAAGCTATTGCACGCTTAAAAAACCACAGAAATGGAGAGAGAACAGCCTGTTAATAAATAGCAATACAACTCGGGGCACTCAGACAATCAGAACTCATAAACTCTTGAAATATTTCCTAACTTACATTTGTAAGGACCAAACCCAAGACAGATGTTTACAAAGCCCCCACATCAATATAATCTATTCCTTGATAGACAGTGTAGATATCACTGTTTTGTGGAACCTGTGACAAGCACAATGTGCTATTTGACTGAGATTTTTGAATTTTTCTTGAAAAAAATATATATACGCACTTACTGAAACAGAATACCCCCAAGAACATAGCATGGACAACATGTGACTCAAGTAGTCCTAATCTTGTACATAAAACGCATGGGGCAACTCAAAACCCAACTTAAAACAGTCTCGACAAGTAATCATGCTTTTAAAAGTGAGCACCTTTCTTTAAATCTGCAATTCCAAGAAGCTCAACAAGTTCCACATGATTCTTCAGCTTTGGTTCAGTTCGCTTCTCTCCCCATGACTTAATAATGGCATTATTATCCTACAAAACATCTCCAGCAATCATTGTAAAACTTATAGATCACGGGAGAACAGGAGATTCAAAAAGTGGAAGGAACCTAAGACATACCTCATTATTGTCAACCGGGACCGAATCATGAACTAAGTTTCCAATTATAGCCAATTTAGATTGCACTGCTGCTAGGGCCTCCTGCACCTGTGCCTCCTTCTTGGCAGTCAAATCCTTGTTCTCCTCTGTAGAGGCAATCATTCCACTTGCATCTTCTTTCGCCTGAAACCATAAAGTTACGAAATCCAAAATATAAAACATAAAGAGAGGCTGTCAGAATCCTTAAGGTTCTGATCTATAACTTGTATGCATTAATAGATGCACCTACTGTCAAAGCAATAATAAGGCCCATTTTTGTCGTTCAACAATCTAAACGGCCAGAAAAAAGATACATATTCTGTATGTAAAAGGCCACATTTCAGCTTCTTGTTTCATATAACCCAGTAACAGGCTTACAACACAAAAGAATGCCCCAAGTACAAGCTACAGTTCCATACAATACGAACCAAGAGAAAAGGGAAATACAATTAGCAACTCCTTCACCCACAGTCCACACCCTTTATCCTTTCTACTAATCTAGGCACACAAGAACTTCACACCATAAATTATTCGATGTGGATTTTGATAAACACCTCTGGAGCCTTATTTTCATTCAAGTAATACACGCTAACTGATCACGAAAAGTAATAATGCACTTTGATACCACTCACAATTTTGAGGCGGGCAATCTCTTTGCTTAGCCTGTTCCTATCTGTCCTCAACCCATCCAACTCGAATTGCCCTACAACAATATCACCACCTCAAAGTCGGCATAAATCCACAAATTGAATAGGAAAAAAAAAAAACTCTGCACTAATGGAAACTTTAAGAGTGACAGTGGATTGAATAGTTACGCTGCCGCCAAACTCTGTCGAGCTCGATGACCTCATCCACAAGATCAGCATTGGCGAAACGACGCCGCTGAGACTCCCTAATTTTCTCAGGGTTCCCGCCCTTCTCTTCACGAAAGAGGTTGATGTCCAACATACTAACGGTTGTTCGTCCTAATCGGCTACCTTTCCCCGCAGATTACACCTTCCGATCCTCGGGCTCTTCAGAAAATAAAAAATGTTTTGGGGCGCGTCGCGGCCGCGCGTGCAGGATAAGCGGCTGATCCTAGCGGTGAGAAAACAGACGAAGGCCCGAAAATTTTGAGGAAGACGCTCGAGTTCGAAATTAGGGTTTGAAAATAGAAGTCTTTCGGGTTCATTTTAGTCAACTGGGTGTGGAATGGGCCGGTGTGCAAATGGGACAGTTGTATAAACAATGGGCCCGAACACTTGTGTTGACATTTACGTACACTCAAAATCTTTGGGCCTTTTTCTTCCCTTTGATGGAATATGGAAATGAGGACATTCTCATTCTTTTTAAAATATTATTATTGATAAAAGGACAGTCTTCATCTCTTTTAAATGGTTTATGTTATAAAACTAGAGAGAATTGATGCTATAGAGAATAGAGAAATTGTATTCGTTTCGGTGTGTTTTTCATTATAACTGAAGCCCCCAATTTATAGGAAAACTTCTGATGGTACACTCGTAATAATACAATTACATCAGAGACAAAATAGTCATTCACATATATTAAAAAAACTTCTCACGAGGTGCGCATGCACCTTTACAACACTCCCCCTTGAATGACTATTTTAGTGGAGTATTCCCTTTGAAATTACCACTATTTACTGTGCGTTTATGCTGCCTCGTTAAAAACCTTATCTGGAAAAACCCTGTGGGAAAAAAACCGAGATAAGGAAAAAAGAGTACAGCCGCACTTGCTCCCCCTCGAGTTATTACCTATGTAAATCCCGAAGATGTCTCATTCCAATATTGTGCACATGCTTTCGAAACATTGTAGTCGGAAGTGCTTTCGTAAATAAATCTGCTGCATTATCGCTTGATCGAATGTATTGAACTTTGATTTGTTTATTTCTTTCAAGCTCCTGAGCATATGAGAAGAACTTTGGCGGGATATGTTTAGTTTTGTCACTCTTAATGTATCCTTCTTTGGTTTGAGCGACACATGCTGCATTGTCTTCGAATATCACCGTCGGGTCAGTATTATTCGATAGTCCACTGGTTTGTTGAATATGTTGAGTCATGTTTCTGAGCCAGATACTTTCTCTAGTTGCTTCATGAAGTGCAATGATCTCGGCATGGTTTGAAGATGTCGCGACTAATGTTTGTTTCTGGGAACGCCAAGAAAATGCAGTTCCACCAATCGTGAAAACGTAGCCAGTTTGAGATCTCGCTTTATGGGGGTCTGATAGATATCCTGCATCCGCAAAACCGATCATTTCATGTTTTTTATCATTTGAGTAAAACAATCCCAAATCGATTGTCCCTTGGAGATAACGGAATATGTGCTTGATTCCATTCCAGTGTCTCCTCGTAGGTGACGAGTTATATCTTGCTAACAAGTTGGTGGCAAAAGATATATCTGGTCTGGTGCAATTTGCAAGATACATAAGAGCTCCTATTGCACTCATATATGGTATTTTAGGACCAAGTATTTCTTCATCTTTTTCACAGGGTCGAAATGGATCATTTTCAACATATAAATTCTAATGTTCGATTGACCATTGGGGTACAAAGGGGATTAGCCTTGTCCATATTGAATCGTTTCAATATTCTTTTAGTGTAATTAGATTGATGGACAAATATCCCATTTTGGACTCGTTCTATTTGCAAACCGAGACAATATTTGGTTTGTCCGAGATCTTTCATTTCAAATTCGCCTTTCAGTAATGTGACTGCTTCTTGGATTTCATTTGGAGTCCCAATAATATTAAGATCATCGACATATACAGCAATTATCACAACTCCATCTTCTGATCTTTTTATAAAGACACACGGGCATATTTGATTATTTATGTATCCTCGTTTTAGTAATTGTTCACTCAAACAATTATACCACATACGCCCGGATTGTTTCAAGCCATACAATGATCTTTTCAATTATATCGCACATAACTCTTTAGGTTTGGATTTTAGTGTTTCGGGTATTTTAATCCCTTCTGGAATTTTCATATAAATGTCAGCGTCCAGTGATCCATATAAGTAAGCAGTCACAACATCCATGAGACGCATCTCAAGGTTTTCATGGATGGCTAAACTGATCAAGTATCTGAAAGTAATTGCATCCATAACAGGGGAATAAGTTTCATCATAATCGATCCCAGGCCTCTGAGAGAATCCCTGTGCTACAAGGCGAGCTTTATATCTTGTGATCTCATTTTTCTCGTTTCTTTTTCTGACAAAAACCCATCTGTATCCAATAGGTTTTATGTCTTTTGGTATAATGGTAATAGGTCCAAAAACCTTCCGTTTATTAAGTGAATCTAACTCGGCTTGAATAGCACCTTTCCACTTGTCCCAATCATGTCTTTTCTGACATTCAATCATAGATTTTGGTTCAGGATCCTCAACCTCTTTGTCAATTTCTTGTGATACCATATATGCGAATGCATCATCAATATTTATGACCTCATCACGCTTCCAAAGATCCCCATTGTTTGCGTAATTGATGGCCATTTCAATATTTTCATTTCGTCCCGAAATTTTTCCATCATCTGGATTCGTTTTCAAACTCGAGTCATGAAATTCTCTTTTCTTTCGAGGATTCTTATCTTTAGACCCAACTGGTCTTCCTCGTTTTAAGCGTGTCTTTAATTCATTCGGCATATCGTCATTTGTCATTTCTTTTGGGATCTCAATTCGAGCCGGTGCATTTACAGCTGCTACATGTGATTTGGTCACCCTTTTTAAATCAGTAAATGCATCAGGCAGTTGATTCGCAATATTCTGCAGATGTATGATCTTTTGAACTTCTTGCTCTCTTTGTTTGGTGGGAGGATCAAGATATGATATTGATGATGTTTGCCATTCAATATTTCTCTCAATTGATTTTTCATTCCCATCTAAGGGAGGGAACAACTCTTCATTAAAATGACAATCATCAAACCGAGCTGTAAAAACATCACCCGTTTTTGGCTCAAGGTATTTGATTATTGATGGAGAATCATATCCAACATATATTCCTAACCTTCTTTGGGGCCCCATTTTTGTACGTTGGGGCGGAGCAATTGGTACATACACTGCACAACCAAAAACTCTTATATGTGTAATATTTGGTTCTCGACCATATGCCAACTGTAATGGCGAGTATGTATGGTGTGCATTTGGTCTTATTCGATTAGATCATTTGCATGCAGAATAGCATGTCCCCATACTGAAGTGGAGAGTTTTGTCCTCATTATCAATGGTCTAGCTATAAGCTGCAGCCGTTTAATCAATGATTCTGCAAGACCATTTTGAGTGTGAACATGTGCCACAGGATGTTCAACATAAATCTCCGCTGCCATACAATAATCATTAAATGCTTGAGATGTAAACTCTCCAGCATTATCAAGTCTGACTCTTTTGATAGTATAATCTGGGAATTGAGCCCTTAATTTAATAAGTTGGGCAAGAAATTTAGCAAATGCCACATTTCTAGTGGATAACAAACTCACGTGAGACCATCTACTAGAAGCATCAATTAACACCATAAAATATCTGAATGGACCACAAGGTGGATAAATCGGTCCACATATATCACCATGAATCCTTTCCAAAAATAATGGTGATTCATGTCCGACTTTAGTATGTGATGGTCTCATTATCAATTTCCCTTGAGAACATGAGGCACATTTCAATTCATGTGTTTGCAATATCCTCTGATTTTTTAATGGATGCCCACTAGAATTTTCAATAATTCTTCGCATCATTATCGAGCCAGGATGACCAAGTCGATCATGCCAAAGTTTAAACATTTTATTCGTCTTTGAATTTGTTGCAGCATAAGCCTCGATCATATTAATCTGGGTGTAATATAAACCCGAGGACAGAGCAGGTAACCTCTCCAAAACACATTTATTTCCTGCATTGTTTGAGTTAATACAAAGATATTCAACTCCCCCTTTATTCATTGTTTCAACGTGGTATCCGTTCATTCAGATATCTTTAAAACTCAACAAGTTTCTTTGATTTTGGGGAGAATAATGCATCATTCACTGTAAATTTGATACCTCCCATCATAAAAAATATGGTTTTGCCAGAACCCTCAATTATCTTTGCACTTCCGGATATGGTGTTTACTTTTGTTTTATTTAATATCAAGTTGACGAAATATTTTCTGTCCTTGAGTATAGTATGAGTAGTGGCGCAATCTGCAATACATATATCTCCATTTTGAATTCGAGACTGATCCATGATCTAAAAGAAAACAACATTTATTATTGATTGAATTCGAAATACAGATAAAAGTAGTCCACACACAAATACAACAAACTTAGAAAGCAATAAAAAAAACATGATCATCAGTTATTCTCCTGGTCATTTCCATCTCTGTCTTCAAACACTGCATCGGCAAAGTCCAGTTTCAATATGTCATCGATGCCATAGTCATCATCCACACGTGTTGCATCATTTTCAGAAGATTCCCCAACCATAAAATTGGTTTCTATATTTTTATCTTTTGATTTCTGAGAATCATTATAATTATCAACAACGTGTCTCGGAGCACGACAATTTCGTGCCCAATGTCCCTTCCTTCCACATCGATAACATGCATTTTCATTATTATTCTCTGTCACATTGTTCTGTTCAAATTTTGGCTGGAAATTTCTCCCCCTTTCATAATTTTGGACATAGTTGCGGCCTCGTCCACGATTGTATCCTCGGCCCGAGTTATACCCTCGGTGAAATTTGTGGCCTCGGCTTTGGCGATCCGGACCATATCCACGGGAACGTCCACGACCACGGCCACGCCCTGAGGTATATCCACGCACATGATATTGGCTGTTTTTATTTTCAGTTCCTTGTCTAGATATCACAGTATTTATTTCAGGGACCGCAGTAGATCCCGTAGGTCTAGATTCATGATTTTTCATCAACAGCTCATTATTTTGTTCAGCTAGCAACAAGCAAGAAATTAATTCAGAATATTTCACAAAGCCTTTTGCTCTGTATTGTTGCTGCAAAAGTACATTTGAAGCGTGGAATGTGGACAACGTTTTTTCCAGCATATCGTAATCAGTTATGTTTTCCCCGCATAATTTCAATACCGAGCAAATGCGGAACATTGCTGAATTGTACTCGTTTACAGTTTTGAAATCCTGGAAGCGTAAGTGCATCCATTCATAACGAGCCCGGGGGAGAATCACCGTTTTCTGGTGATCATACCTTTC